TGCACCCTGAAGCTGGTCGAATAAATCGTCAATCCTCGGGAGGGGATAACGGTTCTTCACCGTTACCTTATTCAACTCCCGGTAATCTATACACATACGATGTGACCCGTCCTTCTTCTTCACAAACAGTATCGGGTTTCCCCATGCCGAACTGCTCGGCCTGATAAATCCCTTGTCTAACAGCTCCTGCAGATATGTAGACAACTTCTGCATCTCGGGAGGAGCCAACCGATATGGTGCCTTGGCTATCGGAGCCGCACCAGGAACAAGTTCAATCCTGAACTCTACTTGCCTCTCCGGAGGTACCCCAGTCAAATCCTATGGGAACACGTTCAGGTACTCCCGTACGATCAGTACATCATCCACATTCGCCTTACCATTATCCTGGATATCCATGACATAGGCGACATAACCTGCGCAACCCTGCTGTAGGTAGCGTCTCGCCCTCGTCGCTGAACACAAAGTAGGTCCATATTGTGGCCTATCGCCCTGAATCACCAAGCCTCCCCTACTTGGGGTCTGAACTCGTACTAGCTGTTGCTCGAAGTCGATCACTACCCCATTGGGTCTCAACCAGTCCATACTCACGATAACCTTATTCCCTCGCAGGGGAATGGGGACTAAATCCACTGAAGAACTGCTAATCGAACAACTGCAGTGTACATCCCCGGTGAACCCTCGCAACCCGAACAGTCCTATCATCCGCTATCTCTACATCAAGTGGACAGTCCAACTCTCCTGGAGCTCCCACACATCGCTTGCTGAGCACGAGCGATACAAAAGACTGGGTATCCCCCGAATCAAATAATACCAGAGAAGATATATTGTTCACAAGGAACGATCCTATAATGAAACACATAAACATAAGAAATAAATCAATATAAATAAAGAGATAAGGAGAAGATACATACCCGTCACAACATTGGGAGTTGCACGTGCCTCCTATGCTCTCAGCTGGAAGGCTCTGCTCTTTGCTGCAGGTACCTCTGTCTGGCCCTGACGGCCATCGGTAATCCTCAATGTAGCAGGAGCGGGTGCCGCCACCTGTCCTGCTGCTGCTAAACTCGGACACTGGGATCTCTTGTGGCCCCTCTGATTGCACTGAAAGCAAATCAGATCAAAATTGTCGTGGTGGTCATGGTAGCAGTACAGTCCCTGCTGATATGACCAGTTTGGCTGCACTTAAAGCAGCCCGAACTACCTGTCATGCACGCCCCCTCGTGCATCTTGCCGTACTTGCCACAACGTCTGCTGCCCTGTCAGTTCGTGTATTCCTTCCTCATTTCTCCTTTTCTTTCTAATTTAATGTTGATTTCCACTTGTGTTTGTAATTAATTGCAAAAGAAAAAATCAAGCAGGTTTTTCCTCTACTGTCATAGTCCCACTGTCGGTTGTTGCTGTAAGCGGCGACGAGTACCACCACCACTGCACCAACTACTGATTTCATGTTCTACTTACTATGATTTTGGAAATTAATTGCAAAATATGTGTGTATTTGATATATGTATTTCAATTTGGTGTATGTATGTGAAAATATATGTTTTTGGTGTGTATGTGGTTGTTTAGAATATGTGATTAAACATAAAACTTGTTGTTTAGAATTTATAAAAACTTAATAATTTTGTTGCACACTTATTTTGTTTATTTGAAACAAAGTAGAATAGTTGAAATTTTTATAGTTTGGAATATTAAAGAGCATTATTTCAAATAAAGATTTATACAAAATATGGAAATTGTGGCCTTGAAAATTCACATGGGGAGGCTTTAATAAAATTCACTGGCTTTCTAGTTCAAATTTTAACCAACTCATAAATTTATCAATTATCATCATTAACAATGTAATATTAAGAGTAAATGTACTACATGTTTATACATAAATAACTTATTTTCAAATCGAGATATCACATTATATTATGTTAGGATATGGTCTAATATGTGAAAACTAAGTGAAAACACTCTTGTAAATCAATAACGTATTTCATAAGGTTATATGATAACTTAAGTTATAAATATCGTCGATGAATGAAGCTATAGAGATTTGATATATGTATGTGAATTTGGTGTATGTTTGTGACAATTTGTGTATTTTGTATAAGTAGGATGTTATTATGTATTTATGTGAAAGTATGTGCTTTCGGGCAATAGCGACAGAGCATTATTATGTATTTATGTGAAAGTATGTGCTTTCGGGCAATAGCGACAGAGCACTACCGATAACTTTTTACCGGCGACATGTCGTCGCTATTGCCTTTACCAACGACATCTCTAACTTTTACCAGTGACTTCTGTCGCTACTATTTCCCTTTTTTTCTTGTGGTGATACCCTTTTTCCCTCAATTTAATCTAACGGTGATGGAAGTGGTTATGTGGTTACAGTGTGTTATTTGGTTATCTATAGAACTCACACACACACACACACACATATATATATATATATATATATATATATATATACACACATACACAAAGAGAGAGAGAGAGAGAGAGAGAGAGAGAGAGAGAGAAGGAAATAAACAATACATATAAATTTTAAAAATTGGGTTGAATTGGATGTCAAACCGGTTGAACCAAAAAGTAGTCACCAGACCGATTCAACTAAAAGTTGGTTTTTAAAACATTACATCAAACTTAAATCACCCCAGAAACAAGTCAACAAAGCAAAATGTTAATCTCTCAAAATTTAAGTTATATGGTATTAATAAAAATATTCATATTTCCCTCCAAAAGAATTGTTTTCAACAAGTGATAGTGCAAATACATTTCTTTTAAGTAACCTTTAAAAGAAAATAATGGTAGAATTGTCATTTTAATGTTTATGCAAGGGCGTCTTTGTATTTTATCATAGTTTTATTTTAGGGATACGGGAAAATGACTTACTAGGGAATCATTTTTGTCGCTTTGTTCATATTTATGCAACTTCTTTATTTTTATACACATTTGACAATTTAAATTTTTATATGTGTTCACAAATTATGGTTGAATGTATACAAAAAAAAGTTGTCTAAACGTGAACAAAACGAAAAGTTAATTACTCCGATAAATTATTTTCCCCACTTTTAATAGCGATTTTATTTTTCATATTTGTTTGTATTTTTTTTCAAACGTTATTTTTAAAATATCCATAATTTCCTAAATATCAATTAAATATTGATCAATTCTAAATTTTACTTTTTAATTAATAAATATATTTTGTTTTGTGAAATATTTTATATAGCCTCTTATAATTTTATTCTTTTGTTTTTAATCATATACAATATTTTTAAAGTAAATAGTAACTAACAATAAAATTAAATAAATTAAATATGTAACAATAAGTATGGAGAGTCTTTTGAAAATTAAAAAGAAAATATTACTTAGCAAATAAAAAAATCTATATAATTTACATATTTTAAAATTATTAAACTTTTTAATTGGAAGTTTATAAACTTTTAATTATCTTAATACAAAATTTTAAACTAATAGTTAACGAAAGTATTTTAAAATGTTATAAAAAAAATATTAAGTTGTCATATAAAATCTATGAAACACTTTAAAAATGTTGTAAAAGAAAGTTTAAAGATAACGGTATGAAAGTTATAAAAAAAATTGTATGAAAATGTAAAAAAAAAAGTTAAAAACTTGTAAGAAAATTTTAAAATATCCTTTCTAATAAATTGATGTTTTTTTTGTCACTTGTCAAATTCTCAAGAGTTTTGCCACATGTAATTTTATGGGAGTTTTAGAATTATTATTTTCCACTTGTCATATTTTGGGAATTTCCATTTTTTAAAATAAAATTCCACAAAATTCTAACAAGTTTTATAAGGAAAGAGAATCATTCTATTAATTTGATAATAAAGTCTCATAAATGCTCTAAAGAATATTTGATTTCTTTTATAAATGTTCCAAAAGATTACATTATGTTATGTAAAAATATTATTTTATAAAATATTTAATCTTTAAATATTGATATTAAATTTTTATTTTTAATAAACTCGTGGAGTACACGGGTCTCACACCTAGTTTATAAAATATTTGGTTTAAAAGCACTTGTATTAAAATTATATTAAAGTATAAAAAAGGTTATATATATATATATATATATATATATATATATATATATATATATATATAAAGTTTAAAACATTGTATTAGAAAAACCTATAGGAAAAAATATCTTTAAAATGTTGTAAGAAATTATAAAAAGTCTTAAGAAATTTGTAAAAAAAAAAATTGTTCACATTCATACAATTTTATTTTTTTTGTACACATTTGACTATTTAATTTGTTAAATGTGTTCATATATTACTATTGTCGCCTGTTATATGAGATGACAATGGTAATTAATATGAGATCACATTTAACAAGTTAAATAGTCAAATGTATATAAAAAAAAATAAAGTTGTTTAAACGTGAAAAAAACGAAAAAATAATTACCCTCCCAACTCAATTTTCCTTTTATTTTATGTTTCTTATGCAAATCTCTCCAAAAACCAGAAACCTAAAAGGAATCTGGATTCAACGGAATGTAAAATTTTGTCTTTTAATGCACCATGGCTGTCAATACTTACAAAATGACGCCAATAGTTTGCGACTATATTTAACAACTTTAATGAAGACCAATGGCACTGAAAATTATGTCACTAATGGAGTAACGATTGCTTATTATATTAGAAACTTTTGTTTTCAAATAAATTACTCATTCTTCTTTCAAGATAAGTTTGGATTTTACTACGTATGTGCTATGGCTTCTATTCTTCTTTCAAGATAAGTTTGGATTTTGGAATTCTTTTCTGTTACTTAAAGTTTTCTTCTATTCTTCTTTCCATGTTCCTTTAAATACATAAGAATATACATTGTGCTGTGCATTCAAAGTACTTGGTACATATATATCATATCAGATAACCACAAACTTTAATTAATATAAATAAATGTGGTCATTTCAATCTTTTAGCCTATAAATACACAGGATTCATGACCTTTTTTATCCCAAACTTCCAATAAAAGGAGTGACGGAGAGAATGGAAGCAAAGGGAGATGTATCGGATAGTTCATTTACCAGTGTCACCTCACTTACCCTAAAAGGTCCAAAAAAAATTCCCCAACAATATGTTCTTCCTTCTTTTCAACGATCAAACCATAGCCTTCTTGATCACATATCTACTGAATTTCCAATCATCGACCTTTCCATGCTCAACCACCCTGCTCACATGCCCAAACTAGTCAATGAAGTTGGTGCTGCCTGCAAGAAACTTGGGTTCTTTCAGGTATCTGTTAGGCTGCATTTGCAACACTGGAGTAGATGGAACAAGCTTTCTACAACTATTTTCGATAAAGAGGGCGTTACATTCACGTCTGCACAGACAGATACTCAAGAGGAAATCTTTGTCCAACCCTTTTGAGTGGGAAAAGCTTTGTTCCAATCAAATGCACGCCCAAGTAGTAATTAAAACTTGTTCTATCCTATTTTATTGTGCATGCAATTAATTGTATTTTGAGATTTTATTGTTCCCTGATAAAGAAAAGTGTGTATTTGAAGGTAATAAACCATGGGATTCCTAGTTGGGTCATGAAAGATGCAATAGACTCTGCTGAAGAATTCTTTAGGTTGCCAAGCGACAAGAAGATGTGTTTTGCTTCTACCGATGTTCACGCGCCTGTAAGATATGGCACTAGTATGAATCATGTGATAGATAAGGTGCTGTTTTGGAGAGACTTCATCAAGCATTATGCTAATCCGATATCAGAATGGATCCATCTATGGCCATCGGATCCTCCAAGTTACAGGTAATTAATTGCTTTACCAATTTGCATACAATTAATTAAGCATGACTTTGATCACTTATTTTTTTTACACAGAGAGAAGATGGGAAGCTATGCAAAGGCGGTGAATACATTACAGAAGCAATTAATGGAAGTGATCCTGGAAAGCTTAGGGCTGAATGCGGATTACTTACATGATGACATAGAAGAAGGTTCACAAGTCATGGCTGTCAACTGCTACCCGGCCTGCCCGGAACCAGATCTTGCACTAGGGATGCCACCACACACGGATTATGGTACCCTCACCATCTTAAATCAAAGCCAGCAAGGACTTCAAATTATGGACGAAGATAAAAAATGGCGCGCGGTTCCATTTGTTCAAGGTGCCCTAATAGTTCAGTTGGGAGATCAATTTGAAGTGTTGAGCAATGGAAGATACAAGAGTATACGTCATAGAGCCATTCTTGACTCGCATAAACAGCGCCTGTCAATTGCTAGTATTCATAGTATGCCCATGGAGAAAAAGGTAGGACCAGCACCTGAGGTAATTGATGAGCAACACCCCGTTGCCTACAAAGAAGGGAGCTTCAGTGGATTTCTTGATCACATATCTGTTAAATCTGTATCAGAAGATACGTACCTCGACACGTTAAAAATTCATGAAGCATGATATAAACAAGCATCGAAATTCAAAGGAAGATTTATCATGATGGAGCTTACAGAAATTATATGATTCAGGGTGTGGCCCACCCTGTACTTTTATTAAGTTTAGGCCTTAATATGCAAAAAAGACAAAATTATAGGCTTCCCTTTCCCTGTTTTGTATGTAAAATATGTTTGTCCGCTCTAAGAAAAGAATGAACAAGTCGCTTTCAATGATGTAAGTCAAGTTTAAATTACAAGATTACTAAATACAAAAAGCTTAAATATGTGGTTCTACTTTCAGCATTATTTAACCTAATTGTAATTTTTATCCGATAATCTAGAATTCATATAAATTTATAGTTGAAGCTTAGCATATGCATGTTTCAAAAGTTAAAAGCCAAAATGCATTGCCTTTACTATCAATGGAGAAATGAAACCATTTGTAGAAACAAATTAACAAGTAAAAAAAATGAAAATAATCTATATAAAGCCCATAAAATTGTTTTATTGGTTGTCCTGCACAAGTCTTTGTAAAGCTATTAGGTTTTAGAATACCATCTAGAATGTCTCCATCTTAACTGGGCAATTCAAGGAAAAGTAGATATAACATAAAAGAAAATACAGTTCAATTCGCGCATATCAGTTTTACTTCCAATCAGTTTTCAAATCCCAAATAATAAGCGATCAACTGGAAATTGGAAGGAAGAAAAAACAAAAAGCAAAGGAAAAGAAGTCGAGGAACTTACAGGATACGGCAAAGAAGAGCAGCGGTGGAGCCAAAGAGGAGTTGCCGGTAAGGAAAGCAGCGGTAATGTCGATTTCTCTCAATCGTAACTTCTAAATTAGAAAATAATGAAAACAAATAAACAACGTAGATTAGATAACTGACACCATAGATGGACGGAAGCTTGAGGAATGCGTCTTTCTACAGGAATTAATGCTTAGTTTGATAGTTTCCCTCTTCTCGGTTTCGTTCTCGCGTCCTTGAAACTTTTGGGCCCTGTGAGGGCGAGCATATTGCGGTTGCACATAGAGATATGCACACTTGCGGTCTTATCACTTATGTCGGTCTCGATCGATTTTAAAATGGTTTGGTTTTCTGCGACTGGTATCCAAACGGTTCGGTCGAGAGTCCTAAATAGTCTCGAGTTGGAATTTTTTGATCCTGTCTTTTTTTTACGGACAGGTCTTTCTTTGATCAAGTCTTTTTTAGACTAGTTTCGGTTTTGCATACATCTTTTCCAGTTCGGTTTCAGGTTTTTTTCGGGTTGAATTTCAATATATTTCAATTTTGAATTTTCAGGTAATAAATATATATGTAATTAACACCAAAATTATACATTAAGATTTACTAAAAATGATGAAGGGTTTTAGGTATGAATATTTATTTTCGGGTATACCCGCATACCAGAATTCGTTTTTTAAATAATATCAAATATACAATACAGTCACGTACGCACACTTCAAATAAAACAAAACCTTTCGTTTTGCAAAGGGAATACGACGCTGAAGCTGAAGTCCTGAACCGTCATCATAATTCTCAGTTTCTCTCTATCGCACGTAATGGAATTAAAAAAGTACATAACATATTATAATGATTTGTATTGTTATTATAGATGTACTTGTTAATTGTATCGAGTATTTTCCTACCCAATTCTTTATTAAACCAACCAACATGTAAAAAATATATATATCAATAAGTGTCATTTAACAAATTTTCGGGTATACCCGATAATTACCCGACCTGACCTCAAACCCGAAAACCCGAATTACAATATAGGTCGGGTATCGGGTATTATTTTCTTAAGGAAATACCCGTTCTACCCCACCCGTTCTACCCGAAACCCGAAAATTTTACCCGTTCGACACCCCTACTCGGAATCATTCGGTCTTTTTTGGGTCTGAGAATGGTCTGTTCCTTTTTTTGGACCGGTCCCGGTCCCGGATGATCAAACTGATCCCTTTTTGGTCCGGTTTCGTTTTAGATCGTTTGGTCTCAGGTTTTATATCGAGACATGTCCTTTTGTTCATGTATAGTTGCACATTTTTATTATCGGCCATTATATTGGACTATAAAGTCAATGAGAAGTTTGACTTTATTCATTAGAAGAACGTTTAATAGTTTTATTAGAGAAGAAGTCATGTCATCAATGTTAGTTAAAGTTAATTGTAAATTTGTTAACTTTCTTTCCTTTCTGATTAATATATATAGAATTTATTGTGTTATTGAATAAAATGAAGATTTCATATCTCTTTTCTTTGATATTCGTTCTATTCTACATGCATAATTTTAGAGGGAGAGTTTTGATCCTTCACTCTTTTCTCCTCTTCTTTGATTCTCTTTCATTTCAATTGTCAATTTTGAGGCTAGTTCATCAGATCCTATAGTAGGATTTAATGTATCTAACATCGAGATTTAAAGTCCTTTTGATCTCAGTTCATCTAATTGTAACACCCAAAAAATTTCAAACTTTAAAATGCTATGGTTTTAAAAACATTCAAGTATTAACCCACATTTAACAAAAACCGGTCCCACAAAAACCATTATAAATTAAAACATTGGGTGCTACCATTAAGCATCAATAAATCCATAGCAAGCAAATAAGAATTACATCAATACAAAATAATAAGGGACTTATCAAGTTCCACTCCATTCTCTATAACTTGACTTCTAACTTCCACTCCATTCTCTACTTTCCAGTTCTTTTCATTAATTTCCATTCCTTTTCATTACTTCACATTTCTTTTCATTACTTTCCATGCTTTACACATTTCATACATTAGTATCATAAAATCATTTCAAAAGTAAAGCATCTATATTTCAAAAACATTTCAAACATATTTTCAAAACATTCGATCTTCCAAATTTCTTTTCTTTCAAAAACATTCTTGCCTTTAAGGCACTCTTTCAAAAACATTCTTGCCTTTAAGGCACTCTTTCAAAAATATTCTTGCCTTTAAGGCACTCTTTCAAAATACCCTTTTCAAAAACATTTGACGCTTTCGTTTCAAAACATTTCATATATCAAAGCATTGCATTTCATTATCATAAAATCATTTTTCCATGTACCCCAAAGTGGGAAAAATGCCAACACGTACTCACCTCAATCACACATAGGTTAGCTAGTGCTCTTCTAGTTCCTTTCCCTATAACATTCCTCTTCAAACACTACCTACATCATATATGGACATAAGTCATTAAAATGACAAAAATACCCCTCAAAGGTTCAAATATTATGTTTATTGATTCATACTATTCTTCATGAAAAACTATGAATGTAGGCGAAAACTGTGCGTATGTGACAACCCGAAATTTCTAACTTGTGTAAACATTCAAATTTATCAGTGTTAGACTCATTTTGCTCCCAGTTATCACTGTTTGGGAACCTGTTTTGAGTATCCTAACTCTAGTGAACCAAAGAAATTACTATTTGGAAGTGTCAGTTTAAGTTCTAAACTATCTAGCAACCGTAAACCTCCTCAAAAAGGAGTTTACGGTCGAGACCTTGAGTTTACGGTCAGAGTAACCGTAAACTCCTCCCTATATATATAATGGTTGATCATTTCAGCCATTCTTTTCACTTTAAACACTTCAAAGGCTTTCTCTCTCTACTCCCTATCTACCTTCATCGAGAATCCTCAAGAACACGGCTGTGTTTTGGACCGAAAACACCCCCCATTTACCTCCAAATCGTAGGTACCATTCTCCTTTACATCTATCTAATTACAATCCTTCATTTTGGACTTAAGATCATCACTCTTTGCATGAACAAAAGAGTTTACGGTCCTATGAATCTTCATAGACCGTAAACCCTTATAAAGGGTGTTCTTATAGCCTTTACCCTTCCTAAGGCTAAGCATGGTCCCTAGAATCCGATGCCTTTGAAGGAAGCCCTTGAAAACCATCATTTGTGCAAGATTGATGAGTTTACGGTCTAGTGTATCTCCTTAGACCGTACACCCTTCAATGACCGTAAACCCATTGACCGTAAACCTTATGACCGTAAGGTCATTAGACCGTGAACTCCATGACCGTAAGGTCATTGGACCGTAAACACTAAGACCGTGAACACTTGGACCGTGAACTCCAAGACCGTGAACACTTGGACCATGAACTCCAATGGTCATACCTCTTTGACCGTAAACTCTATAGGGTGGCCATATACCCTAGTTATGCAATCATATGCGATTGTATTCCATAAATCTTAGATTTTCCTAGCCAATAAGGGTGTTACCCTTCTTATTTAGTCGTCTATACACTAAAATCATACACATACATGTCTATATGTGTCTATTAGGATCATTGTGTGCTCAAGGTTACACCTGACACTCTGCACTCCTCTTCCAACCATCCGTCAGAACCACTCACTACAGGTGAGTTCATACCCCTACATTTTCCGTGTTTTTAATGTTTTCAGGGGGGGGGGAATACAAGCCAAACTCAAAGTATTTTATTAAGTTTTAAACTTATTAATACAACTCAACGATTTCCATGTTTAATAACTTACTCGGATATTTTATCCCTTTTGTAATATGTTGAGCATAAGGGAAATTGTTATTTTGGAAATCTCACTTCATAGCTTTCAGAAGGTTTTACAAAACATTTTCCATAACAACACTAGTAAACTATAATGGGTATAGTTTGGGATAACCCTCTAGACAGTTTCTACCAAATCAGATTTCATGGATGAATATATATAAACTATGGCCGATTTAGTTTATGTTATCTGTTTTCCCAGAAGTATAAAGTACACTTATTCAAGGATAATTACTGTTTTATACTGTTTCTCGCTAGTAAACTAGATTATACAGAATTGTGAGGCTCTACTTCAATACTGTACTCTTAGGTGTACAGTGATAAATCCTTTTAGTATAACCAGAGTCTCCTGGAGGGAGAGCGTGATATTTGTGAATAAATCTATTCGGGACTGACAATCCCACACCTGAACTACTAGCTACAGTTAGGCGGGGCACGCCTGGGGTGGACAAATGTCATTTAACTTAACGCCTGAAGAACGTTATAAAGGTCTCTAGGTCATATCAAGTGTGGTTATACGACTCGCAAATAAGTATAAACTAACTTTGGTTTATGGACTCTACTCTTCATTGTTTTATTTTGAGTAATAAAACTACTTTTATACATACTGATGGTAATCAGGGATTTCTAAACTTACGTCTCTACCTCTAGAACGGATAACTTG